CTTACCTGCTTTCAGCATTGACAATTTGGTGGTATCACTCCAGATCTGTAAGTATTCTTTCGCCTCTTTCTGTCTTTATAATCTTAAGATTTTTGTCTTTTGAATGTTGTAACAAAGAAGAGTGGAGTGAAGAACCATTCCATTGACAACACTTTTTTTTCTTTAAACCTTCAACACGAACCCAGTTCTCCCCTGTTCCAATGTAAATCAAACCTCTTCACCTCCTTCCAAAAGCCCTTCACTCAGCCCTAATCGAGTGAACAAAACCTTCACTAACTCAAAATCAAAACAACATCTCCAAACAACCTACCATTCCAACATGTTTGAATATCCTCTTCCATACAACATCACCATCCTAGCCATTTTTTCCGACCACAACTCCCACACTTCTTCACCTCCTCAAACCCGACCACACAAACAAAAACCCACTTGAAAACTCAGAAACTTTCTTCAACACTCCAAATCACCAACTTTTTTCCGTTTTCTCCAAGCGTGTTCAAACCGACCTAGCGACATTCCCAACCTCATCAAACTGACGCCGCCGTCAACAACAAACGAACATCCAAATCTCACCTCCTTCAAACGATTCTTCAAATCTCAACATCATCAACCTTCAAAAGCTTCCGCCCTAACCCAGATTCCATGAACAACCATTCGACCAACAACCCCTTTCTCAAACTTCCGAAAACCCCAACCTCCATAAAAACTCAAATCAACAACAAGAAAATGAGAAAATAGAAACTGAAGAATAAAATTGATGAGAAGAAATTGAAACAAAGAGAGACACAGTGAGAGTGATGAGATACGATTTGAAGAAGAGGATCCGCGTTTTTTTATTTTTTCCTTTTTGCTGATCATTATTCATCTTTCCATTTTATTACTTGTTTGGGTTGGGCTTTCAGCCCACCGAGTCTCTATTTACACACCATCCGTTTCTGTTTCGAACCCTGTTTTTTTTTATTTTTTTATTTTATTAATTTAATTTTATGATTTGTTATTATTATTAGTATCTTTCTGTTTGTATATAATTTAATTTTAGTTTTAAAAACAGTTTGTTATAATGTATATATTATATAGACTGATCTTATGTATTATATTATTATGAAAATATATTATATTTTCGTTATAATATCTATTTTGTAAATATATTTATATTATTTTCTTTTTTAATTTTTTTTTTATAATTTTACAAATATGTTAGTTTTTTATTATATTATATATATAGAATTTTTTTTATATACTTTCTTTTAGAGTTTATGTATACTATTTTATATTTTTATATCTTATTTAAAAGTTAGTATTAACTTTTCTATTTAGATTTTCATATTTTATAGTTTAGAGTTGAATTTTATTTCTCTTTTTGTTATTGGACATCTTGTTCCACTTTTTGGGTCGATGACGAGACCTCCGTAATTCATTACCAGTCAGATTATTGATGAGTAATGTTGGATCTGAGACCACCTATTTTCTCTCTTCGTCACCTGTCCCGACTCGATTCAAAAACATTGTCAAACCATCTTTAAAATCATTTCTTTGTATTGAATAAAAAGAGGGGATTAAGTGTAGACTTTCTTCCTCTCCGAGTGTTGGGATGCCCACTGTAGTGAGGGTGGTTCCGACACTCGTCTTTCAATACGAAGACGCTTCCCGTCCATCTTCAAATCTCATCTCCTTAAAATCATTTCTTTGTGTTGAGCTAAAAAGAGGGGATTAAGTGTAGACTTTCTTCCTCTCCGAGTGTTGGGATACCCACTGTAGTGAGGGTGGTCTCAATGCTCGTCTGTCAACACAAAGACGCTTCCAACATTTCCTCATAAAGCCTCGGTCTCGTAATGAGTATACTTTCAATAATGAACTAATTTCTCTTTGTATTGAATTAAAAAGAGGGGATTAAGTGTAGACTTTCTTCCTCTCCGAGTGTTGGGATACCCACTGTAGTGAGGGTGGTTTCGACACTCGTCTTTCAATACGAAGACGCTTCCACACCATTTCTCACTTTCACATTCCTCCCGCAACAGTTTTCACACCTAAAACCTCGGTCCTGTACCGAGTGCATTTTCAAATCATTTTCATAACAAAAACTTGAATGGTCGTGGAGTGGTTAGGCGTAGGCCTTCTCCTATCCCGAGTGCTGACGTTTACCGTAGGGTTCTCTGTCGCAAAGCACTTACCATTCAAAACCAAAAACATCTTTAATAAGAGAACGAAGTTCTCTTTGCATTGAATTAAAGAGAGAGGATTGGGTGTAGACCTCTTCTTCTCCGAGCATAGGGATGCCCACTGTAGTGAGGGTGATTTCGACGCTCGTCTTTCAATACGAAGACGCCTCGTTCACCACACCCTTTTATAACAAAAAAACTTTGAGACAAAGAATTGGGTACTACCCGTAGGGGTTACTATCCGAGGACATGTCTCTCCCCCTAAAAACAATCCAATCAATCAAACGTGACTTCTTGCCCCGCGTGGCAAAAACTAATCAATCTTTCAAAAAGGATATGTTACGTCCGTTCTACCGCAAACAGGTACCGCCTAAGTCTCCAACGAGCGAGCAGCGAAACACCTAACTGCTAGAATGCGCACGATAGCATCATCCATAAAAAACATCAACAAACCGTAGGCCGAACTACGGCTGCTCTGATTTCTCATACCAGATGAGAATACGTAGGCACAAGGGCCACAATCCTTGGCGAGCACAATCCCCCCATATCTGTAGTTCCCCGAACTACGTCGACTCTGACTTTCTCACATCTATTGAGAATACGTAGGCATAGGACTGCGAAGTCCTACCGAGTCCGTTCTTTCTCCACTCCCCTCTGTTATCTCTCTTCCCTCCTAACTTTCTTGTTTCTCACCCTTCTTTACCCAGTGAAACACTCTTCTTATAGCATAATATTTTAGCAAATAAATTCACACATCGACAAACAAAAGGTTCCCATCGAGTACGATGGATGCGAGGGGTGCTAATACCTTCCCCTCGCATAACCGGCTTCCGAACCCGTTCTTGGTCGCGAGACCATCTTATCCATTTCTTTCTTAAGGTTTTCTCGATATTTTCCTTTCCCCTCATGGGATAAATAAAGTTCGGTGGCGACTCTTCTGTCCTTTCTCTTTCGCCTCCCCGTCGTTGCACGATGCATTTTTCGAGTAGCGACAATACTAGATGTTAATGTTAAGTAAATTTATATTTTAGTCATATACTTTTAAAAAATAATAATTTTACTGTCTCTTATTTTTAATTTGACTTAAATACCCTTTTAGTCCTCTAGTTTGGACATTTTAAATAATTGGTTCACCTATTACAAAATTAGCGATTATGGTCCTTAATTTAGAAGCACTTTGGATTTACTTCATCCCCCATTCAATTTTGATGATGTGTCTTGTTTTTTAATGATGTAGCGGTATTCTATGTATTCCATGTCACCAAATGTTATTATTTTAATATTAAATTGAATAAAATTTACAAAATACTTAAATCATATTTTAATTAAATATAACTATATTTTAATTGTTAAAAAATTATGGATATTATCCCCAAACTAAAGCTCCACATGTTTCACCTGTAATCAACTTCTTTCTCGGAACCCTAATTTTTCTTCAATCGAGCAATCCTATTTTAATTCTTTTTGTGAAATCAACAACTGTGTCCAGACATCGTGAAATCAATTTAACACAAACAAACAAATGAGACCACAAGTATATATAAACAACAGTGAACTACTGGGACCACAAGAAGACATAAACATGCTAAAAATACAGGGACAAAGAAACACTAAACTAAACTTAGGGACCACAAGTATACATAAACAACACTAAACGACTGAGACAAAAAAAACACCTCACACATTACTTGACCTCTTCATTTCACTTCTTTTGATGTCCTGACTTTGTCATCTTCGTTGAATCATAAGCACAAACGAAACCCACAATCTTGATTTCACGACGTCTGTACATAGTTGTTGATTTCACAAGAAGAACGAAAATAAGGTTGCTGGATTGAAGGAAAATTAAGATTCTAGGGAAGAAGCTGATTACAAGTGAAACATAAGAGATTAGTTGGGGATATTATCCATAAGTTTTTAACAATTAAAATATAGTTATATTTAATTAAAATATAATTTAGGTATTTTTTAAATCAAATTATTTAATTTAATATTAAAATAATAACATTTGGTGACATGAAATACATAGAATACTCACACCTCATTAAAAAAACATGACACATCCTCAAAATTGAATGAAGACCAAGTAAATCCAAAAGAGTTATAAATTAAAAGATCATAATAGCTGATTTTGTAATAATAAAATCAATTATTTAAAAGGTAATGTTAACCCATGGTTGTATTCTAAAGACACAAGTTAACAAATTGTTAGTATAAAATTTGTATAAAAAAAATAAAATCATTAATTATAAATTTGTATTAAATTCACAACACAATTTTAAATTTTTTTTTATTATATTAATCTCTTAACCTTGTATCAAAGAGGACAAGTTAACATTACCCTATTAAAAATGTCCAAACTAAAAACTCAAAATTTAAACCTTTTAATTTTTGAAGTTGTTTTTCGTTTTTGCAAATCTTAATACACAATTTTATGTTGAAGTACAATTAACTCTTCGAAGAGTCTATAAACATATTAATTAAACATTCATTTGTAAATAGTTTGGTACACATCATAGTTCGTCATTAAAAAATCTAAATACTTTTTTAAGATACAAAGATTCCTTACGATGAAACTCTATTATCTCCAAATAAAAAAATTAATAAAGAAATAGAGAAAAAACAAAAAATCCGGTATATATTATGTGTAAGAAATTTCTATTTTGGAGGTTAGGTATATTTTCTATATTTATTTATTCATTTGAGTAATTATTTATTGTTTCCTTCCTTTTCCATTATTCCATTGTCACTCTGTAGCTGAAATAGCAACTAAGCGCGTTTACTTGGTAGTGACTCAGTGAGTTACAGTCTCACAAATCTCAACTCGTCAAAGCTTCAAACATGGTCAGAAAACATGGCTGGCAATTACCCGCACACACTTTTCAGGTTAACCTTTTTCATTCTTCTAATTTTTACTTCAATTTTTTTTGTTAGGGTTTGTTTGATTCCGATTTAGTGTTAAGTATCTTCATTGTGTAGTTCATGTAATCGCTTAATTGGAACGTGTAATTTAGATGTTGGCTTAGAAAGGTTTACTTTCTTGTAGTTGAGTAGTGGTTTAGTTTTTCAGCGTAGCAAGATTTGGGGATTTGATTTGGTTCATTTTCCCTTTTTCTTATCAAGGTTTTAAAAATTGTTTTTTTGTTTTTTTTGGTAAAGTTATTTTCAAAATAGGTGTTTATTTTGGAAGCTTAAAAAGAGTTTTTTTTTTTTTGGAATAATAACTATCTAGCAAATTGTCTTTTTTTAGGGTTGGGTTAAGGGGTTATAGATCGAATAGTTCCTCTTTTATCTTCAATGTCTTGCCCAAGTCTTCATCTAGCTATGAACTGAGTGAAATAGTAGATGTGGTAGAACTTGACATCTTTACATTTCTCATATTCTGCTAATTCCAAAGTTATAGATCTGCGAAAAGAGGCAATGGCAAGCACGTTGTTAGTTGTTAAGGTAGATAATGCAGAATAGAAATGAGCTATTGCTATCTATAAATCTCATTCTGGTAGATTGGGTCTTTTTTTTGGAGGATATAAGGTAACATGCGAGGGGGCTGTACTTGAAGAAAATGTGCTGCAAGTTTTAGAATGTCAAATATCACGCATGCGGTGGAGGGTGTGAAAAGTGATTTTCCATGAATCAAATTAGTTAATAAAATCAAGTTCTTTTCTTTCTAAATCATGTTTGGTTAATACTGGTGTTATCAAATAGCGGCGCCATGGCCTCTATGGCATTGTGGTTTTTGGACTCGCCACAATGGTAAATATTGGCCGATATTGCGGGTTGCGGCCGGTATGGTGGGGTTTTGGTTCTCTTCCATGGACTGCCATCCGCCATTGACAACACTGGTTAATACTCAAAAAAAAAAACATAAATACTCCAAGTTTTTTAACACAATATTATTATAAAACTACAAGTTTTGAAAGGCCATCTTATGCATATTTTAAGTAAACTGCAGAGCATCTTAATTCATTTTAAAAAATTGCCTTTCTCTTCTCTCAGAAATGAAAATACACTACCATTTCACATCATTTTTTTTAATAATATAAACGTAACTCTTGGTGGTGACAAGCAGCCATCGCCTATGATTAAGCTTCCGAGGCTCTTGATGTCTCTTTTCGTCAGTTTTAAACTCTCATATGAGACTTTAGAAAATGGAAGGAAGTTTTGAATACCTTTGCTATTGACTATGGTTCTTCAACTGAAATTTTATTTCATTTCCTAAAGTTCCAAAGGTAGTAGTAACACAGGGTTTAAAACAATCTAATGATGATTCATAGTGTGAAAAAAAACCCACCCTTGTGAAGTTCGTTCACATTAATATGAACTATAAGTATAACAAATTTTAATCTAACTTAAGAAGGAAGTGCTATATTTCAAAAAAAAAAAAATGTAAGCTTAGCAACTGACACAGGCAGGGAATTGTAATTTATGCTAATATATAAAATAACTAATTTAATTTTTATTGACTACACAGCCCATGCACCATTTAAATTGAAAAAAAATAAATTTGATCCTCACATCAGGAAAATAAACTATTATTCTTTCACATTCTTCAGCAATGCTTAGCGTTGTGATTACACATTGACTTCAGTGACTTGTATTTTATCAGTTGCAGGCATGCCAACTTATTTTTCTAAAATTGTTGGCTCTTACATGATAGGTTGTTGCAATCACTGTATTCTGCTTGTTGGTGATTGCTTTCTATGCTTTCCTTGCACCGTTTGTTGGAGGTCATATATGGGAATACACCTTTATTGGTGTCTACTCTCCTGTGGTATGCAAATTTCCTTTTTGTAATTCCACCTCATTTTGTATATGTTATTTTCTTACCTGTAGGAGGTATGGCTAATGTTGTCTCATTCTTGTGGCATTGCAGGCACTCATTGTTTTCATTCTTTATGCTAGATGTACTGCAATTAACCCTGCAGATCCTGGCATTATGTCTAAATTTGACCCTAGAGTGCGAAATACGTTCAATCCTGCCCATGGGTTGTTGGGTAAGCATCAATCTTCTGAACGCGGTGATGTTGCTGCAGGAGAGCATTCCTCCCTGTCATCTGCTGCTTCCAAAAGGTCTATGACAAATATGAGCAAGAAAAGTTCAGTGGAAGATCCTGACAGACTAGATGATTTGAGAAATCAGTATAAACCAAGCTCATGTGATGTAATTGGGGGAATTTGCTGCATATTATTTTCTCATGAAGATTGCCGGAAGCAGGAAACAGCTGATGAGCAGGGTGGTGGGGAAGATGCTCTGTTCTGCACTTTGTGCAATTCTGAGGTATTATGTTGTGATTTGTAACTCTTTGATACTTTGCAGAATATATTTCAATTTTAGTTCTTTCTTTTACCCCTGTTTTTCTATTACCCCTGTTTTCCCCATTAATTGCATTGCATAAAATTATATCATTAGTACAATAGCAAATCTTGGGATGAATAGTCACTAATTTTTTTTTTCTGCATTCTTTAATATTATGTTTTGTTGATATAAACTAAGTCAGAGGCTGAGTAAATCATAAAGATGATACTAATTAATTTTTCATGGCATATCCTCCTATGGGATATATTTTCTTCACTTGACAGAGTTATGGTTTTGATGAATTTAATTATTTTGTTTATTCTTCCATTGTGTATGGGCATGTAGTTTTTAGGTATTTTCTTCTCTTCTCATCAATGGTATTGGTATCACTTATTATTGTCTATAAAATAATGTTGGCCAAAACTTTTTATTTGGCTGAGGTGCTAATTTAACTCAGGACTTCTCTTTCTGGTATAGAGACGCCGCTGAATTATGTTCACTTTTGTTTTCATTTCTTCTTTCTATATTTGTAGAATCTCCTTCCACTCACCTGGATTTTTGACTGATAGATAGAGATGCTGGTGAATTGATCCCTTTTGCTGCCATTCCTTCGCCTATTTTTTGAAATTCCTGCCACTAAATATTTGGAACACAATTTTGGTTACTCTAATTTTATAAACATACGTGGTTTGCGTTCAGTTGTGAATATAAACATTTAGAGAATATCTTTAAACCTCAGATCTCTGCTTCTCCCATGTTGTAGGTGCGCAAGTTCAGTAAACATTGTAGAAGTTGTGATAAATGTGTTGATGGCTTTGATCACCATTGTCGGGTATGCTTTTGTTTGATGAGGGAAAGGTTACATCATGGAGTGTTCTTCAACTCTGGGTTTAACATTTTATTCATTTCTTTCAACTTTGATCTTCACCTGATACATCACATTGCTGCAGTGGCTTAACAACTGTGTGGGTCAGAAAAATTACCATTCTTTTATTTCTCTAATGGCCTTTAGTCTTACATGGGTATGTATATTTGGTCCACTAGTTTTTATTATTTAAAGTAATAATTTGTTTTGTTGCTGATAATGTCTTTTCTACTTATTCTTCTGCACTCAGCTTGTTATTGAAGCTGGAGTCGGTATTGCTGTTTTAGTACGTTTCTTTGTTAACAAGAGAGGAATGGAATCTGAAATCATTGATAGGCTTGGAAATGGATTCTCTCGTCCCCCGTTTGCTGCAGTTGTGGTATCTCTTCTATTTAGGTTTTATAATATAAGTAAATCTGGATGTGGCAGCTGGCCATCACTAAGTATATTTGAAAATTTATGTTTCTTGTTCAATATTTGTAGGTTGTATGTACTGCAGTTTCTGTCTTGGCTTGTGTGCCTTTGGGTGAGCTTTTCTTTTTCCACATGATCCTAATCAGGAAGGTCAGTGATTCAGTAGCTGAGATTCTGAGGTTGTTTTTCTGTTCTTATTTTTTCCCCAACCCCATTCCTTAATGACTGCTTCTATAGAATCTATACTGCTTGTCTAATCTAGTTTGATTAAGGGAGATTTATGTAGTGGATTTTAAGGTGCACATTTTGGAACCCTAATTTTTTTTTTCTAGAAATAGATCATTTTCTGAATGAGTTTGTATTCATAATCTGTTTTCCCTTGATTGAAATCCATTTATTTTTAAAATAAAATAGCAATATGGTCACCACATAGTTTTTCAGGGAAAGTTTCAAAAAGGATTCTCAATTTAATTGTCCACTTTTAGGAATGGAAATCTCATTTCATTGTTTTTCTGTTATGATAGAAGAAAACCTATATTTAATTTACAGAAATTAAAATACAAAGGCAGAGAAGGGTAAAACATCCTCCTAATGAAGCAACAGTATACATGGTTCAAAAAGTTTAAACATTAAAGAGAGACATCCATACTAGTAAAACAAAATTCCAGTGTTACTTACTGTCACACTAAAGCCTTTGGGAATGATGCTTGAGATTTCTTGCTTCTACCCTGAGATTTAAATATCACTATTAGCTTCAAGTTTCTAGCTAGAATTATTTAGCCATTTCACATAGAGTGGTTCTCTTATCTTCCATCGTTTCTTCTTTTGGATCAGGGTATCACAACATACGAGTATGTTGTAGCAATGAGAGCCATGAGTGAAGCACCTCCAGGGCCATCTGTGGATGGGGATTTGCCAAATATACTTTACTCTCCAACAGGCTCAGCCACAACTGGATTGAGTGGAGGAAGTTCTCTTGGATTGCAGTACAAAGGGGCATGGTGTACCCCTCCTAGGGTATTTGTGGACTATCAGGTACTTAGTTTGGAATTTATTTTCATCTGTATATTTATTGATTGAACTAAAATTAAGTTGTGCTGCAATATTAAGTACCGAAAGATTCTTGTTGACTTTTTATATCATAGATTTGTAGCGGGGAAACTTTAATGAAGAACTCTTGGGCAATAATCAAAGCATGAGGAATTTTTCTTATTTAGTTTAAATCTTCTATTGCTGCAAATTGCTATAGAAGTTTAAATGTTTAATATATTAAAAGAATATTCCAATTATAATGTTGAGCACTCCATCCCGACAAATAATACTATATAATTCACATTCCTTGTAGAAAATCAAATCATGATAGGATGAATAATAATTTAAAGTTTTCGAAAGAAATTCACATTAACGTGGGTTAATAGCTACTTTTCATGTCAATCCATTTAATTTGAACTTTTACACTTATGTTTAATCAACCCCTGATTATGCAATTTGCATCATTACATGTTAACATATTTGACTGTCTTTCTTTTCTTGACAAGAAAAAAATGTTGAGTTGCTATTAAAAAGTATTTGTGTGATTTGGTTCATGGAGCTTGCTTTAAACATTGGTTTCAGGATGAAGTTGTGCCTCACTTGGAGCCCGGAATGCTGCCATCAACTGTTGATCCAGATGCAGCTGGGTTTGCAGAAAGAGGGCAAAAGATGCCAAAAAGACCTGTTCGTATTAGTGCTTGGAAGCTTGCTAAATTGGATTCTCAAGAGGCAGTGAGAGCAGCGGCTAAAGCCAGGGCATCTTCTTCAGTTTTGCGACCTGTAGATAGCCACCGTCCACCTGATGCAGAATTAAGTTCTAGTGGAAACATGAGCATCAGAAGTAGTATGAGCATAGATACTGGAAATAATAAGGAAGTAAACAAGTTAAGATTGTCTCCAGTGAGGAATTTGATTGCTCCTAGTCAAGGAAGCCGCGACGAGTATGAAACTGGAACTCAAAGTATGAGTAGTTTCAGTAGTCCAAGCCATGCTCAAGAGGCAGTTACACTCAGCCCTCTTCCCCAGGGGCGTACTTTGGGTGGCTTCAGGGCCGGTATTTCAGTTCCTAGTTTGGTGCCTGAGCGTCCTTTAACTTCTAAAGCAACTTTGCCAAACTTCAGGAACCCAATATCCAATCCATCTCTTGGATTTGATGCAACAATGATGCTGAAGGGAGCAAGTAACGATCCGTTATTGCTTTCAGCTTCCAGCACGTCCATTCTAAGAGATGTGAAACGGACATCAGTTGTTTGGGATCAAGAAGCCGGCAGATATATCTCTGTTCCTTCATTGCCTTCAGAAGCTCGAAATAGGTCATCTCTGCAAATAGAAGTGCCAAATTTAAATACTGAAACAAGCAGTATTGGAAGGAAACCAGTGATACCTCCACAGGAACCGGCGTCATCTGCACCTAAATCTCCAAGGCAGCATGCACAGAATCTGACGTATACAGGAGAGTCTATCTTTTTCGGTGGTCCATTTTTGAGCGTGGCTGCTAAAGATGGTTTGAAAAATGAAAGGCATTTGGGATCAGTAGAGGCCCATGATAGTGTAGCAGTAAACTTACCCCAAGAGCCAAGATATAGAAGAGATTCACATTCAAACCAACTTCCAGTGTTTGTTCCTGGTGGTTTTGATAATGCTCTTCAACCTCGGTCCGGCATGAATTAGCTTAAGATGATTGAGATTCTTATGAGTTGGACCCAGTTTATGTTGGAGTCAAGAGGATAGTGAAGAATGTTTTTTATGTTAAAGTGATCCTGTAGACACCATGTTGGATTGTTGGCCTTTCTGTATGGTGCGCGACAACATTCTCGACTCCATCAACCATGCGGTTGTTTATCAAATCAACATTTAGGTTTAACATCTGTCATCTGACAGCCTGTATGTTTGAGCTACATCTCAATGCTACTGAGTGTTTGAAAGAATGAGCTCCATTCTTCCTTCTGCTAAACATGACTTGAGAACAGTGAATCTTCCCTTTTGTGGTAGATGAAATCTCAAAGCAAATTCGCATGACACTTCATTAAGCACGGATTCTTAAATGATTTTAAGATTTTAAGTTAATATTGTAGTTTTGTTTCTGTAGATGCTAAAAATGAGTGGTACATTTAAAGTGAAGTGTTTTGAGCAAAAAAATTAATCATTTAGATTGTGATCAAATATTTCATATTTTTAAATACATTAAGGGACATTACCACCTATCAAATGGTTTGATGTTTACATGGATCTAATTGGTTGATGATTTACAATTTGTATTAGATTTCTATCCATTGCTAGTATTCATTTACATTACTATTCATTTCACTATTTAAAAAATGCTAATTGTTGGTCGGAGATAGAAAATATTTAATTAATTAAATTTGGATTAATTCTAATTTCTTTGATTTACTCTTTTATTTATTTCGTTAATAACTTCATTTTTTAATTGAAAACACTGAAAATAATCTATAAAAAAAATACTTCCTTGATTTTTGTAAATAATACTTAGTTTAAAATGAATGGATATATACAAAAGCAAACACACTAAGAATTCAAATAAAACCAAATGGAAAAAAATAAAATAAAAATAAATCTATTATGATTTGGCTCAAAATCAAACCAAATTAATAAAACTGAACTTATTCAGTTTGGTTCTTGATTTTTATTTTTAAAAATTGTAAAGTTGATGTGTATAATTATTTAATGTTTAGAGCAATGTTTTAAAAATTGGAATGAATCGGTCCATTTGATCGGTTGGATCGGGAATGGAGATGAATTTGGTTGGATCAACCTTTTAAAATCGCTAGTGGGTCAAAATCGGGGTTAAACCGAAAAAACCGGATTGAACGGTCCAGAACCATTCGAACTAAAGAACTGGAGTCAGTTTTATAAAATCGTTCGGTTCAAAAAAATTCATCAAATTGACCATTTAAAATTTTTTTTAATATGTTAATTTCAAAACTTAACATACATTCCCCAATCACAAAAATGAATTCCGTGTGTTTTTTACAATCATACAAATTTTTAAATTTTGTCACTCCATTATAGCACACTTCATTAACATTATGCCGTCTCAAACATAGTCACGATGTCCAGCTCTATTGATTGTCATTCAAGTCAATATTGTCTGTCTATTAAGACTTGTTTGTCGTAACTCAACTCAAATTCGATTTTTTGTTGTTTAATGAAGTATATTGTATTATTCATATTTTGGTATTCTATCTTATTTAATTTATGTATTCTTAATTATTTGAACTTTTATTTTAGTTATTACATTCTATTATTTTAATCTCGATTTGAATTAGTTTAATTTATTTTGTTGTGATTCTTTAGTTTGGTCAAAATATTCTTAAATGATGGTTGGAATGAAGTGTAGAACTATGTTAAGTATTATTGATATTGTTGTATTAAATTTGTAATGAATTTTTAAAATATTTATTTTATTAAGTTAAGAACATATAATAATATGTGACATATCTATGAAATTTAATTTCATATTATTAGTTTATTTAATAAACGATTCAACCTCTTTTGCACCATTATATTATCTTTGATGTGTAAATTACGCCAAACAGCTTTGCTAGCCTCTGACCTCTTTTGCACCAAGATATTGACCTTCTCGTCTAATGCTGTCAACAAAGCAGAACCATCTCATTGATGACATCCACATCCCCCTCCACCTTAAGATCATACCACCCGAAGACATCCTTACTCTAGACTTTAAGATCACCCATAACATCTTGAATTTCTCTTTAAGGACAAAGTCGCTTCTCCCCAACACCCTGTAATTCAACCACTTTTCTTCCACAAATTTGAGAAACAAATCGTTTTCAAACTAACCGTCGTTGGTTTGGAACAGATTAAAGCCCCATTTTCTCGAACTAACCTTCATCCAAATAGGACAATGATCAGATATATCTCTTTTTCCAATGGATTGGCCTATCATTCCCCATTTGTTAATGAAAGAAGAATCCACTAAAAATCTATCAAGTCTGCTCATCGTTTTACCATCTTCACTGAACCCAGAAAAGCGATTACCAGAAACGGGAAGATCAAGTAAGCCCATATTTTCAATAAAACCTGAAAAATCCATAATCTCCACAAATTTGTAAAGAAACACCCTTTCTTTCAGCTGCATTAGTAATAGCATTAAAATTGCCACCCATGATCCAAATACCATCTGACCACCTCATTTTGCACACTTTCAAATCCTCCAATAACTTACACTTCAATGGTATTGAGCAACCAGAATAGACGTTAACAACATAATAAAAATCTTCCTTCCACTGCAATTTAACTCCAAGGAAACCTTCCCCACTAAACGAAAACACCGGGATGAAAGAATTCACATTCCACATGGTTATAATCCCTTCAGAAAACCCATTAGATTTGCAATACGACCAACCCACCTCATTATGTCTCCACATGCCAAAAATAACTTTAACATCAACCTCTATTAGTTTCAATTCTTAAACAAAGAAACTATCGACATTACTTGACTTAATTAGACAACTTATCCTCTTCCTTTTAGAAAAATTTCCGCCCCCTATGATATTTAAGGATCCCACAATCATTATTCACCATTGAAATACTCCTTCTTACCACTCTTGATAGCTTTATCTTTTGCCTCCATCACATCAATTGGAACCGAGAAATCCTTCTTGCCATCTTTAGCCTTCACTCCCAATTTTGAATTCACTTTCCACACCTTAGATCCAACATTTGATTCCAAATTTTCAACGAATCTAGTGTTGCACAATTGGACATCTGAATTGGAGATTGGATCACAACAAAGGACTGCATCCGCTGGAAAATTCTCCGTCTCCTCCGATTTAGAGATATGAGCAGAAAAAGATGAAAAGTCAATATCCTTAGATCTCAGAGCAGCAAAATCAGAGGGTTGAGTAAATTGTTCAATTAGGTCATCAGAGCCACCAGATCCAGAAACCAAATCCCGACCCAACTTTCTAAATTTTGGTTTAGATTTCCTTTTACAAAGAGGCCCACTTAGCTCCACCATTTTTCAAAATTTTGTCTTTTTCTTCTTTGGACTCATCCTCCCTTTAAAAACAACCTCGTTCTCCTTAAACAAAATAAGTCTTTTTGCAGACACCTTTTCGGCAGACTTAGTAGCATCTACTGTCTCATCATTATCAATAACTGACAAAGGCTTGGCAACAGATACCTCCTTAGCCGCCAGTAACGCCGAATCAAAATCCGAAAAACAAGGTAATGATGCCACTACTCTATCTGAGCTAACATCCTCTACCAAATTCTCAGAAACCAAACCAGCATTAACTAAGCCTTCCTTAGGAATTTGGTTTAATCTAGTTTGAAACAAATTAGCTTTACCAATTCCTCCAATATTCTCCTCCTCTGATTCCGAATTCCAATCTTCAACCTCTTCGTCCCTATACAACCTGCTCCAAGAACTTTCAGAGACAGATGAAGACAATATTACTGCCCTCTTAGACACATTACTGTTGAGAGAGGTACGTAAAGGCCCGTGTATGTCTTCCACCATCTTGATACTGAAAACAACTCCGTTGATCTGAACTTTAAAATTTTCATTCAACACCAAAGCACACTTGGTTCGGACTAAGATCCTCGCTACATTCATACACTCCCATTTGAGACTGTTTTCATCCATACACACATAAGAGTCACTATGCCAAATAAGACCTTTAACAACGCTTTTTTTTTGCCTTTAGCAGTGCTTAAAAGCGCTGCCTAAAGTGGCGCTGCTAAAGGTAAAGACAACGCTTTTTATTTATTTATTTATTTATGGATAAAGTGCTGCTATAGGCCCCCTTTAACAACACTTTTAGCAACGCTTCCCCCCTTTAGAAACGCTTTTAAAAAGCGTTGTCTATTCCCCCCTCTCCCTCTTTTAGCAGCGCTTCTGAAAAGCGCTGCCTATTCTCCCCCCTTTAGCAGCGCTGTCACACCCTAATTTTTGACCTTAAGATTCCGCCTCTTTTTTTTTCTCTCTCTTGCGTTTCCTCCTTTCTTTTACTTTGTACGTATTTATCACAGTTAACCAGTTTGTGCAGGTTCGCGTAAGATGCTAATTTCAAGGGGAAATAATACCCACTCTCACAGTCAGAACTCTTCCTTCATTCTTAGGCCATTTGTGAATAAACACTTCGAAGACATTCTAGATGGGTTTTTTTACTATATCTCGCTAAGGTCGTTTTCAGATTTGTTTAAGACCAAGATTTTATAGCACAGGGATCTATGGTATCTGAGGCCTCATTGCTTTCTCACACAAGAGGGTTTGGATTCAGATTCCTTAATGACATCACTAGCCAAAGGATGGATATGGCATGACCGCGAGAATCATTTGTATTCAACTTAAGAAAGTTTGGTATAGAGTTTGTCATTTGATTATACTCAAGAGTCTATGGAGTTTCCCCAATTGGTATAATAACGAATTGAAAAGGAAATTGTCTCAAATCACAGTACGGGTGCAAAGAGGATGGAGCTTCAAAGATGTTATAGCTTTATTTCCATTTCAAACCACAATTTACAAACCGTTTAAGGTTGAGTTGATTCTAGGCCAGGTCTCAAATTGGGTTTCGAGCCATATTCCAAGATTGATTGGATTTATTCCTAGTCTGTTTCAAGCCTATATCAGAAAAATCACTACTTCAATATGTACGATGGATATGAAGTTTAGAGAGCCACTA